AAAATGTTCAGAAAAGTTTCCAACGTTGGACTTAGACAAGCATGTTGATTGGTTAGTAAAAAGGTGAAATGTTCAGAAAAATTTGTGGCAAATCTACAGAAATGTACCCTTCACATTTGCATAGTTCAGAAAGGCGATTCCAATTACCGTGGGCCAAAAGGCGATGATGAAATATTGTACTACAATATTACCCCTCGTTTGCAAAGAGAAAAGCTTGATCCCAGCCTCTTGGATGTCAAAAAAAAAAAAAACTTCTCCTGTCCTAAATATAAAATCCATATAAAATGACTCTTATATTTAAAACTGGAGGAAGTACTTCTTATATTCTTAATATAATAACTGTTAAATATTTAATTTGATCCTAAATATAGATATTAATCTACTTGGTTTACAATATTTATCCATTTGACCAATTTACCCTATAAGTAATCAGTGATTACAAATATTAAAAAGTTTTCCTTGAAAGGTATTTCTACTGTACATGAATAATAATGATATTTTAGAAAAGACAATATTTATTTATTATAAATAACTAACTTAACTAATTTTTTTTAATATTCGTAAATTAATTATCTAACTCTTATATTAAAGATCAGGGGTAGTATGATCATTGAGCTACCAAATCATTTTATTAAGATAATATAAAATAACTATTAGGCTTTAAACATTCCAGCTACTTACAATACTTTATTAGCTATTTATTACATTTTATTAGCAAATTTTACAGTTGAATAATTTAATCTAAAAGGCCATACTTCATGAGTTATTTGTTACATTTAATTATAAATGTTTTTCCCATAGAAACAAAAATATGCATGGAAGTATTTTATAAATATCACGCAACGAAAATCTTTTTAAAAGTCTGCTTTGTTGTATTGGTGTTGCAGAACGAAATTGGTATTATGGGTTGTTTTGTTTAACTTTTCATTTTCTATTTAGATTTAAACTTGCAGTGCACACTATGTATCATCCTTCGATCTTAAATATAGTTAGTTACTAAAGAAGTTTGATTTGATCTTAAATGTAAGGCTCAATTTATTTATTTATGTATTAAATTTATAATTTATTCTCTAAATTATCTCTATTAAAATTATTAAGAGAATTTCTGTCATATAATGGTTTTCGATATAAATAATTAAAAGCATATTTTAAAAAACCAATACACATTTCTTCCAGGTTTTAACTTTATTAATATCTGTAAATAAATTATATGTTATTTGATTTCTACGTTTAGAACTTGAGCTTGAGGAATATAATCAAAAAGTTTTATTAAAAAGTGATGCTCTTTTCTCTTGAAGTTTTGCATGTTGGAGACAACCATATCAAATACTCCTCTGATCGTATTTATAAGGTACTTCCAGCATCTTTCACACAAACCAAGAAAAACCTTAAACTTCATTAACTCTCATTTAAAATTTAATAACTTTCTAAGTTAATCCCTATTTAATATACATTATATCTCATGTAAACAAAGTCAACACAATAATAAATAAGGGTTAAAATTAAATATCCACACAAAAAATTTCCCTTGGTGCCCTATAAATAGGACAAAAAAATATTTTCTCTCTCTGCCCTATAAATAGGACCAGAGGAATGTTAAGAAAAATAAGATACTTCCCTCCCCAACTCCAAAAAACGAATGTCCGCTCGGACTCAACCTATAAACATTTCTACCGAACGCTTCACTTGATTATGACCTAACACACACTAAACACAATCCATCGTTTCACACCACTTTCTAACCTGTACACTACACTTGATATCACAATACTAGCTAATCCAACAAGCCCTCATCACATATGTACAAATAAATAAATACTCACGGCACACCATGTGGCGCCCCTCATTTCCTTGCTGCTCTTTCAACAATCAAAAGGAGAGGGAAAAAAATGAACTAAGAACAAAAAATATACATTCATGACTGCCAGAAGACCTTAGGATCATCGCTGTACAAAGAAGAATCATGAATTTCATGGTTAGCTGCATGGGGATTGACAAGACGGGATTGGATGATTTTACATAGTGGAAGACTAGAAGGAAGAGTCCACCATTCACTTTCATCCCCGCATTTCCCCAGCAAAGTGCAAGTACATTTTGATATTTGCCAAATAGTCACAACATCACAAAATCTTCAACCTCATAATCAATTCATTTTTACCCGTAATCTTTAATATCGGGTGTTGAAAGACACTTACATGCTAAAATTCCAAGATTTAAAGTTCGAATGCATTTTATTTGAGTTTGCTGTATAATGAATCAATCCACAAAAGAAGGCAACTACCTGCAGTTAGATGTAAAGGTTAAATAGTAAGTACCTTACTGGTAACCATACTGCTTTCCAAAACAGAAGGATGAAAGATGAGAGGTTGAGCAAAACTCACTAAGGATATCAGATTCCACAGGGCATAAAGACCAGCAAGATCTGCAGATCACCTAGGTCCTTGACTAGACAAAGCGTTGATTCCAGATGGAAATGGAAATAGGACAAGCGGAAGGACAAACAAAACTAAGAGAAAGTTCGTCAGGGATAGAGAGTACATCTGAAGCAAAGTGAGCAATACTAATATAAAATCTCCGAGTAGTAGTATAGAGATAACCAGACCAACTAGATCCTGAAAGAAGGAGAGAATCAGGTAAGTGCCATTAACATGAATTTCGGAGATACAGAAAATAAAGCGGATAGCAGAAAGCATTTACTACATGATGGCCAATAGACTTTGTATTATAGAATATAAAACTGAAGGGATAATATATAGTTATTTTCTCTTTGAGAGCCTTTAAGCTCCTGGCATTTAGAATCCCACCAAGACTTCTTCTATGTATCACCTGCTGGTCGTTACCAGTCAAGTTATGCCCCGGGTATCTGTGATCTCTAAGAAAGATAAAAGGAATATAATGATAAAACTGAACCGTAACGTTGCACTGAAAAAAGTAACAAAACAAAATCAAACAAAAAGTGGTGCATGGACTGTAATTATTTATCATCCAAGAAAATTGATGAGTAATACGCACATGCCCTACTAACCAAAGGCAGAACAACAATTCCAGATGTGCAGAACCACTCTGAAAAATAATTTACCCTTTCCTTTTCTTTCCAGGTGCGATGAAAGCAAAGTAATAATTGATACCTCGAACATGAACAAATATTTCACGATGTGGAAGCACATGAGGTGAGCAATCACGGCAAAGTGATTTATCAGATTCCCTGAGATTTTGGAAGCTCATGAGGTGGGCAAAATTGATGTATTAGATATCTTTCTTATTGTGTTTTCTTTAAATTGGATGTTAAGGTGTATTTTCAATCAGATGATTTGAAGGCTGCCATCATTACATATGGGGGAATTTGCCCTGGCTGAAACACTGTGATCAGGGAATTAGCATGTGGCTTGAATTTTCTGTACAGCCTGAATGATCTAGCATTTATTCGGAGATGTTTTCATTCTGAGTAGGGAAAAAAAATGAAAGCAAAATGTTCATCTAAAGAGGACAAAAAAAAATTGATACATGGCATGCTTTCAGTTAAAATACTTTAATCTGAAATTGCGCCTCATGCTTCTCCCATTTCTGACAAAGCAATTACTTCATGTTTGATTGGAAACAAAGAGAAGAGAAAACAAACAACTTACCTCCTGCTTCGAAAAGATAAATGAGGAGGAAAATGAGGGAAGAATCAAGTCATTAGTATAAGGTACAAATTCACCATTGCATCTGTATAATAGATAATTTTCTAAATAATATCATGTAATTTAAAGTAGCATGAGCTTAGAACTTTTTATAAATTCAGTGTCATGTGACATTTCCCCCAACTTTCATCACCTTAAAGCATGATATCTTCCCTTAATTTCATCACATGGAAGGTCCAGGTGGGCTGGAGGGGCAAATGGTAATTTTAGTAGCTGAAGGGGCAGGACAGGATCTTGTATCTTAGAGCATCCAATCCGTGCAAAAGCAGGATGCTTCAGGAAACAAGCTTCTTCTTCAAGATGTTGGGCTACGGACATCATTAAGGTGTGGATTGGAGATTTTTCTATTTTTGCCATATTTCTTGTGCTCTTCAGTTGGATCCTCATCAAGCTGTTGCAGCAGCAGAATATTTACAGAAGTTACTTTCTATCTGCTTTCATCTTGCAGGATCATTTTGCGCCAAGCGCAGTACAATGAGAATGAACGTCAAATATATAGGTTTGTGCAGGTTTTCTTTCTAAAGAAAAAGATCATGGCATTGTGATGCAGGACGGGGATGTGAGAGATAACAGAGAAAGAAAGAAGAGACAAGAGAGGAGGAAGAGGATAGGGAAGGAGAGAAAGAGGAGAGAAGGGAGAGGGAAGAGAGGAGGCCAAGAAATATCAATTATTATTCGATCATCAAAACTGAATACAAATGAAAACCCCAACCTTTTTTATAAAGTCTCTAGAAATATAAAATAATAATAAAATCCTAAATCAAATCCTAATTATAATCAAAGAGACAAAATATTAAAAGACAATTAATGTAATAAATCCTAATTCTAATATATGCATATCTTTATTTGGATCCCCAACGGATACTTTAGTTATCTAATTAAATCCTAATTATTGCACATCCCATACTCCATCTGTTTACATACTAAAAAGAGCATCGGGTATAATATTATTAATTACTCCCTCCGTTCCTTATTATAAGAGACATTTGATGCTTATGGCATGTTCCCATATATAAGAGACACTTAAAAGTTGTCTCTATTTTTTTGTATTGATTTCCTATTTTACGCCTATTTATTTTGTCTCCAAATCATATTCTCTCTCCCTCTCATTTCTCTTTCTTTTAATAATTTAATTGTTCTCTCTCATATTCTCTCTCCTTATTAATGGGGGCATTGTTGGAAAAAATATTATGTTTTTTACATATTAATTGTCATCAACTAATTTTAACTGTTTTTTTTATCAACGTAATTTGGTTATTTGTCTCTTATAATAAGGAACGGAGGGAGTACTTCCTTTTGCTTTCCTGTATCAGACAGGTCCAACCTCCATGATCCGAGCAATTCCGAACAATGCTTCTGATAACGTGTACTTCACACTTCTTGCTCAAAGTGTAGTTCATGGAGCAATCGCTGGTTACACTGGCTATACAAGTGGACTCGTCAATGGAGGACAAACTTATATCCCTTTCTACGTAGGTTCATTGTGCATGCTTGATATTTCTTCAAAACCAGGCGCCTCAATGAGATACAGCACAAATTTTACAGATAAATATATAAATTTCTAAAGATTTTCTAATACATGTTATAAGATTACTGGAGAGCTTAATAATGGTACAGATAAAGAATCGCTGCGTAATATGTGTGTGTGTGTGTGTGTATAAATATAGCAGTTTTGGTATCCTTCTTGAGACTTATTCGTTGGTTTTTCATCTTATTATTTTCAATTTGCTTTTAAAATTTTACAGAGAACCACAGAGAGACGGCACAAAGTAGTGATAATGATTGAAGACAAGAGATGAAGAACCGTTGAAGCAGTCAGGGCATGATAAGCAAAGTCCAGACGTCAAAGAAATCATCCCTGTCCCTAATAGTTCTCTCAAGCTGTAATGCTCATTATTAATCAATTCCTATTCCCCTCTCTGCATAAAATGGCTGCGGAAATCTCAGCCTCACATCTTTAGGATATTCCTTCATGTGCTGTTTCATTAATTAATTCACATTCTATAATATCCATCTTTGTTCTACTGTGATTTCCTCCTACTCTTTCTTTTCTTTGTTTACTGGTTATGAATCAATTGGCGTCCGAACTCCAAGTGAAAGCCAATATGTAATTTGTTCACCAAACTTTTCTTTCCCATACAATAATTCCCATATCTCTCTTCTACTCTGTTTTTCTACCCATAATCGCTGACTCAAGTCACCAACAAGTCACTGGTTTTGTAAGAATGTTAATGCGTTAATCTTAGTCCCTAAGGCGTTAACATTGTGTTAGAAACTTGTTTCTTTCTTTACAACTTTAAGACTTGTTTTAAAATGCACTTAACGAACGAACTTTTTTTTAGCTAACGTTTAGGCCTTCAACTGTTCTAAACTTGTTTCTAAATTAGTTTACTAGAAAAATTATAAATATAAAATTCTATGAAAATTATAAATAACAAAAACAAATCATGCGATTCTTCCATTTCTTCAATATAATGGTATGAGTCATTCCCAACCGCTTAGTAGAAAACGGAAGGATTATTGGGTAGTATCACAAAAGCAGCTTAATCACTAGGCCTATGGGATGAGGGAATTGGAGGGGAGGAGAGAGGAGTGAAAAAACCTTCCCCTAATGGTTCTTCAAAGAAACTAAATCAAGCTAAAATATAATATACTCCTCCGGTCCTTAATATAAGACCTATTTAACTAATGTGATTAGATTAAAGAAGTTAGGTAAGTTAGTTAATTATAAGAAAAGTGACACATTTTTCCTAAAACACCATAATCATCTTTCTTAATACCCTCTTCCTCTTCTACTTGAATATGGTTGAGGGAGTATCCATAGAGGTAACTTAAAGAAAATTGATAAATATGATAAATGAGTCTTATATTTAGGACCAAAACCAACTCAAGAATTGAGTCCTATATTAAAGACCGGAAGAGTAATAGCCTAATCTAAGTCAAATTCACAGGGATTTTTTTTATGGTTGAAAAACTTAACTAATCCACTAATTAACAAGTTAATAATTACTGCATTTATTATATTTTCTACTTTTATAAATGAAAATCTTTATATTTTTCAGATTTATCTAGATGAGATGGTGTGAGGTGAATGAGTGATAAAATATCAAATGTGAATGATTATTCTCCTAGAAGTATGCCTTGCCTTCCTAGTCTGAATATGATGTTGGAGTTAAACCAAATCAAAAGTCTGAACTAACCACTTGCTAGTTCACTTATCACTCATATTTCACAACCGTAGCAATCCAGAGATAAGTATAAACTCATTCGGCTAAGAATCAATCAGCATAACAATCCAATCTCTCTATGACATGACCGTGCATTGCCTTGGACAACATTCGAATTCACCATGAAAACTGAGTCAACTTGATCAGAAATCACAATCGAATTCCACGCTAAATCAGAGACGGCAATTTCAACTCGATATTGCATACGAATTATCATACTATTAATTCTTAAACAAATTCAAAAGTCCCAATGAAATATAATTCTATATCAAATCCTGAACGCGATAACATAGAAGAGCAACTCATCTAACAGGTTACAGATTCAGACTGGAAATTAAGAAATACAAAAACTCCCTATTAAGCATGTGGACTCGAGCTCAGCTACACTTCTCGGAGACCAAAAATCACTCAGCCTCTCATCATCGTAGCAGCTCTACTAAGCTCCACAAGATAATCGGCCATCGATTCAGAGATGAAGGTGAGTGAAGGTGGAATCACCATGGAGGGAGACGGAGATCGAGAGGAGTCGAGATGGTGATGGAGCCGTGGGGAGAGTGACGATGGAGAGTGCGATGATGATGATAGAGAGGAGGAATGATAGATGGAATCTGAGTTTGAAGCTCTCCACAAAAACGTGCATTTTGCTTGGTGTGGTTATTTATTGCTATTTCTTGCATTATATTGGTTCTTAGCTCTCATTTTCCTTAATCTGGAAATCTCCTTAAATGGCCTGCACCAAGTAATTAAATCAGTCCATTTATTAATTAATTCACATAATCACTCTCTTTACAAATTCCACTAAAAATATTCAATTAAGTTCAATGATGATAAGGAAAATCTCACAAAATGATAGAAAAATCCATGATCAAATATAAGTTCATAAACTCGATTAAAAAAAATTAAAAAAATAAGATTATTTTGATAAAAAATACATAGGGTAAAAAAGTAAAAAAATTAATTAAAAGTTTTTAAGCTCATTTTTTTAAATTTTTTAAATTGAGTTTATTAAAAAAATTATTAAACTTGATGTAAAAAATTGGAAAAATAGGATTAATTTTGATAAAAACAATATATAGGATAAAAGAGTCAAAAAAATCAATTAAAAGCTTTTAAGCCTATTTTTTTAATTTTTTAAAATTAAGTTTAGTTATAAAAAAATTTCATACCAAAATTATGCAATGATAAGATATAATGCAGGAAATGACAGGAGATCATGAGATACTAACAAGTCGAAATTTTTTTTAGTAATCTTACGTAAAACTGCACATTATGTGAATGAAGTTAACTAGCCTTTAATTTGTCGCTTTGGGGTTACTCCAAAAATTAACCAAATTAATGCAATGTAGTGCACAATCCGGGTCGTATTCACTTTGAGGAGCCGATAATGAAATTAAATCCTAATAAATAAATGCAAGTAACCTAAACTATAAAAAAGATTTTTAATTTGATAATTGCTAAGTAAACACCTTGAATTAAATTGAAATTAAAATATATTTTTTTGTTTTTTATATAAAAATGATTAAAATGAATGAAGATTAAAGAAATGAAAGTGAAACACACAAATAACAATAATAATAATCAATCCTCCAATTCAACAACGCAGGCAATCCTCACTAAGATACGGGAGTTAAAACAATGAATTTAAAATTACAATTAATCTTTTAATCTAACAACCGAGCCACCTCGAATTGTCACAAAATATTTTCCTAAAATCCCAACTTACTAACTGCAACCAGAATAATAAAATGGGATTAAGGATGCTAAAACCAGTTCTTAACTAAAACTCTTAAATCCAAAACAACAAAATTAAAGCTAGCAAGAGACATTATGATCCAAGATTCCAAGCCACCTCAGAAAATCACAATATATTAACTCCAAAATCAATACAAATGTCATAACCACAACATTATAATTGAAATCAAAGCTATAAACAGCTCAATGTCAAATGCTAAGCAATAATTCAGTCACAATAATCTCTAAATATAATCAGATTAAGCAATACAATTCTCCCAACAATCAGAAAAACTATCCTAAAACCTAGGAATTGTTAAACAATTATTGAGTAAGAAATTAAAGCAATTAGAACTCCCCTTTGATGATTGAAGCTCCTGCCATTGTTGTTGAATTGGAAGATTATACAATCTTAGCCACGGATTGCCATGAGAATTGCTGTGATCAATGTTCTGTTGTGATCTTCCATGGATGAATGATTTCTTTCTTCTTTGTTGATGGCCGCAGTGAAGAAGAAGAAGATGACGCCGTCGAGCCTGCTTCTCGCGTCTTCTGCTCGCCGCCCAGCGTGTGTCTGTTCGCTGTCGCTCTGTTCTATTTCTGCCACTAGAAACGAATTGTGGGGAAGAATGAGGAAGGCGCCGTCAGCTCCCTCAGCTCGCTGCTTCTCACGTTGCGTCGCCTCTCACTCTCGTCTGCCTCCCTCTGCTCTCTGTTTTCTGGTCTCCTCGTCGGTCACGCCTCTCGCTGTCGCACTCCTCTCTGCCACCAGGAGGATTCAGCAAAGACGAAGATGGTGGTGATGGAAGACTCTGCCTCACGCTGTGTCCTCCTCTGATCCTTCGCCCCCTCGTGCTCTTGCTCTGTTTTTTTCCCTACCGTCAGCCAGCTCGTTCAGCGTCCTGGATGAAGAAGATGGTAAATATTAGATATTAGGGGTGGAGCAAATCCCAGCGTTTTGCTCCCCCATTTTATTATTTTATTATTTTATTTTTTTTTAATTTTCAAAATCTTCTAAAAACCTGCAAACAAAAATTCAAAGATAAGGTAACATTAATTGTCTTCAATAATCAATTAGTCACAATTAAACCAAAATATGATAATTTTACCCCTATAAAATAATAATTCAAAATAAAACATATTAAATCAATTAATCAATCAATTAAGGTCAAAAGGGACTAATTAAGTTGACAAAACCCAAATAAAAGATATCAAAATATATAAAAATAATTGAGTTTGTCAGTGAAACTGCACATCGGTTCTCCCATACGAAAACAGGACAAACATATAATATTTAATCTATTTCTAATCCTCAATATAAGATTCATTTTATATAACTCATCTTTTGTTAAAGAAGAAAATTTTCATTCGTAGTAAATCAAAGAGAAATCTGTATTTTCCTTTTAAGAAAATACTAATACCTCTGGTCCCAATTAT